TCTTGTCCAAAAAGTTTCTGGATCTTTTGTTCAATAAATACAAAGCTGCTGTCGCAAAAAAAGGCGAAAGGCATGTTGCCCATACGAATTTCGAGCAAAGTCTTTGTGACAAATGCTTTGATCAGTTGCAATTCATAACATTTTTCCAGTTATGGTTGCTTTATCCAGTGCTGTAATGTCTGATGGTCAATCTGCTAGCGACCCTGACGTTCGTTTCGTTTCCTGAAGGGATTTTTAGCTCTCCTGACAAAAGTACTTGGTAATGCTTTAGACATTCGAAGATATAATTGATGCGCTTTTTGACTACATGAGAGAAATGCTCTCCCACAGAAGACTGCTTATTTGGGAGATTTAAATGGCACTTTCAGTGTTTTATTAATAATTAAAGTTCAGTTGGGTTCCTTCCCACGCTAGTGGGCCAGCAACGCCAAAAAAACTGCATAAGTGTTAACGCATAGACGCAATTCCAGGCCCCCGTCCTCTTCAAATAGCTCCTAGCCAGGCAAATCCATCGTTTACATCTCTAAAATTTCTAAAACATTGATTTAGCAGGTCTGGTGATAAATGTTAGACATATGAAAACTTGTCTGCTACTGAGTAAAAGAATCGCTCCGCGCGAAAAGCAGGCACAGATTAACAGACATCGAAGAAGGGTTACAGGCCAAGCACTGTAAGGAAGTCTCAAAATCCGTCAATGGGAAAAGCAGGCATCACTTTGGCAAAGCAGATGAGATACATCTTATTCTTTTGGATGAGATATGCCTCGTTTTGATACATCCAAATAGACTAGATACAAACATACCTTATTCTTATTGGCAGTGGAATAAGGGAAGCCATCAACGGTGCCCGATTTGCGTCCAATAAGTCCCTTCAGCGTGGGCCCATTTTTGTTCAGATCTGCATCAATAACATGGCACTGCAGGCAGCGCGTTTTAAAAAGCTTCTTGCCCTTTTCGTAATCGCCTTCTGGAATCGACATTTGGATAGCCTGAAAAACACAGCTTGTACGGCCATCGATGCACCAAAAAATACCGCCAAGACCAAAAAGATATGGAACTGCGTAATAAACCCTTTTACGATCATGATTATCAAGATTAACAAATCATGAAACGATAACTTATTAATTCTAAGATGCAGCAAGTGTTGAGCTTCGGTGTCTTTTCCCTGAAATTATATGATTTTTATACGTTTTTGCCTACATGCAAATTGCAAAAACGCATATTGCGACGACCCTGTGTGTGTGTGTGTGTGT